GGAGAGATGGCTCAGAGGTTAAGAGCATTGCCTGCTCTTCCAGAGGTCCTGAGTTCAATTCCCTGCAACCACATGGTAGCTCACAGCTGTCAATAATGAGATCATATCCCCTCTTCTGACCTACAGGCATACATACAGGCAGAATACTCTATACATAATAAATAGAACACTGACTGCTCTTCTAGAGGACCAGGGTTTAGTTCCCAGCAGCCACATGGCAGTTCCAGGTGACCCAACACCTATGGGAAAACACCAATGCAGATAAAATAAAAATAAATAAATAAAAAACCCTGTATGTGGTAGAGTACATTCACAATCCCCGGTGCTGCTGCATAGGCAGGCACAGAAGGCACCCTATTGAGGGAGCTGGGGGAGTCCAGTGAAGACATGCACACATGCACACCTGCACACACACATGCAACAACCCACAGAGTTGAGAATGTACACACACAGTAAATAGAAAGTTAGGAGATCCACATGCCCCCTCTGTCAGGCTCTGTGAGCACTGGCTAGGGAAGACTCTTCCATGCAGTTGCCTGAGAGCTGAGAACAGCAAGTGCTCCAGAAATACAGCACCGATGAGTCATCGCCTATGCTGGGGCAGGGGTTGGGGGGCTTCGCTTGTGATGAAACTGCTTTGTTACCCCGATAAACTAGATAGATTTGGGTGGGATCTTATCTTTGACCTGTCATCAGTGCAAACATCGTTTGTTCATGTCTCCCCAGGCACAAGAAGCACCATGTTTTTTTTTTCTTTTTTTGGATTTTTTGAGACAGGGTTTCTCCGTAGCTTTTTGGTTCCTGTCCTGGAACTAGCTCTTGTAGACTAGGCTGGCCTCAAACTCACAGAGATCCACCTGTCTCTGCCTTCCGAGTGCTGGGATTAAAGGCGTGTGCCACCACCGCCCGGCCATGTTTTAAAAGAATCTTAAGTAGCTCCTGTGCCCGTATGCTAACATGCTGAAATCTTCCTGGTCCTGTTAAGGGGTCATACAATAGATGCAATTTTCTGAGACAGGATCTTGATATGCACAGCTGTGATGTAGGAGCAAGATATGTAGATGAATACAGGATTATGATATGTAGCTTGTCAGTTTGACTAGATTTGTTATCACCTAAGTAAGAGACTTTTGAGGATGGCTGCGGTACAGTTTCCAGTCTAAGTTTGGTCTAAGCTGAATGTGGGAGGTGCTATCCCATGAACTACAGTCTCAGACTGAATTCAAGGAGAGGAAAGGGCTTTCTTTCTGTCACACAGATGAGAGAGTAGCTAATACAGTTAACTGTTAGCCCAGGTTGGCCTCACTGCACTTGTTTCAGCCTCTCAAGAGCAAGGATTATAGGTATGAGCCATGAAGACGCTCTATTTTCCTTTTTTTAAAAAAAAAAGATTTATTATATATACTGTATTCTGCACCAGATCTCATTACAGATGGTTGTGAGCCACCATGTGATTGCTGGGACTTGAACTCAGGACCTTCGGAAGAACAGGCAGTGCTCCTAACCATCTCTCCAGCCCCCCTTTTTGTTTTTTGAGAGCTTAGATTGGCCTTGACCTCACTATGTAGCCAACCAAGGCCAATCTTCAACTCCTGATTCTCCTGTGTCCACTCCCAAGCACTGGGATTATAGGTAGGTGGAACCATGCTATTTTTTTGTAGTGCTATGGATTTTTACCTGGGTTTTCATGTAAGCTAGAGAAGTATTCTACCAACTGAGATATATACCCCCACAACCTCCTTTCCCCGGTCTTGCTACATAGTCCTGGCTGGCCAAATTCTGCCCCTTCTGCGTCAGCCTCCTAAGTGCTAGAATATACATAGGAGTGCATTACCATGCCCAGCCAGGGCCACTCCCTTTTTCATGTGTATATAGACAGTATTATATGGTGGATATATCATAAAGAGGCCCGAAATCAAAGCTAGTAATCATTCTGGATCCCTCTTCCACTTTATTCATTGAGGCAGAGTCTCTCAAACCCAGAGCTCTTGATATGGCTAGTTATCTATGAAGTTATCTTATGAAGGTGAATTACAGGTGGACCACCACACCAATTTTTGTAGGCTGCGGTGATCTAAACTCTTGTTTACACACCTGCACAGCTAATGCTTTAACTGACTTCCCTGCCTCAGGATCGTCTTTTTTTCCTTCTAAAGATTTGTCTTAGTATTTTGCCTGCAAGCCTCCATGTCCACCCTGAGGTCAGAAGAGGACATTCAGCAGGATGGTGGTGGGGCATGCCATTAATCCCAGCACTCAGAAGGCAAAGATGAGTGAATCTCCGAGTTTGAAGTCAGCCTGGTATACAGAGCTCAAGAGCCCCAATCAGATGTGGCTCCTGTAGATCGTGGTAGCTCTGTGCCCCTGCACCATTCAAATCCTTATCAGGCATTCGAAAGTATCCTTTGTAGTAACCTTTAAAATAAACATGCAAAATCTCCCAGAATCATCTGAAAGCCAAAAAGGAGTTTGAGAACCTTGAATTATATGGCCTACTGTTTAGAAACACAGTTAAAAACTTGGGGTGCATATCCTGCATTTATGCAAGATGGGACGAATTCAGCCTGTGGGATGTGACAATTTCCAGGCAGCGTCAGAGGTCAGCTCGCGTAAACTGTAGATCTGCTTGGTGCGCGAGGAGGCAAGTTCAGATATCTGGTCAGTGTCTGCCAACTCACAGTAAAGGAAAAATTGAGTTTACATTCAAATTTGTAAACTTTCTGGCAAGGGTCTCTTGCTGGGGATGGTGAGTGGTGTGTGCCTGCGAACCCACCACATGGGAGGCTGGGGCAGCATTGGGAATTTAAGATCCACTTGAGCTACACAGTGCGATCCTCTTACCTGACTCACTCTCCACAAGACCAGAGTAGAAGCCAACATGTTGGCCAGAAACTCAGGTTCACATATATGTATTTGCATAGCACAGAAGGTGCACTGACTACCACTTTTGTAATTTGAGATCATTTTGAACAAATGACTTCTTCACTACAGGCTTGCACTAAGAAGCATGGCATCAAGCATCCATTCAGTTCAAATAATCAAAATCAGATTTATAAAAAAAGAACTGGATAAAATGTACAAGTGAACTTTTTTCTAATAAATCACACTTAAGTTTAAAAAAAAAACAACAAAACTAAGAATCACCTTTAACATCTAAGTAGTTAAATACGTTAGTAGGAAAAGAACCAATTCTATACACTCTTGGGTTGTTTTGTGGTTTATTTCCTAATTGCTGTAGTTTGCATCTGACGTCTTTACATTGTTCCACATGATGGGAATCTCTAGCAAAAGGACTCATTAAAGCATAAAAATGGTGTTACCACAGCCAGCATTATTATTAACTACAAACTTTCTCTGAATATAAAGCAGCTGGAATTCCATAAAATAGCTGCAAGCAACTTGGGAGACTCCCACCTGTTGAATTAAATAACGATAGTGTGGTAGTAACTGTAGTGTCTGCACAATACAAATATATATTCCACACACTCCTTCTACATAGTAATTAACAACTGCAAGCAAGACACAGTGAACACAGGAGACACGTATCTTCTGTCTTACGTGGTCCTTTGCTTTCCATGTGCAAAGCAGACACCAATAGTGTCACACATACAAACATGTTATTAACCCTCCAATAATTCTACAGAAGGTGTTATATTCTGCCCTATATCCCAGGTCAGGCTTATGTACAGGACAACTAGCCCCAGGGCCCACGTTTTTCCTTCTCTATTTCTAGCACACTGTCTCTCAAGAAACTGGTAGAGGTGTTCAGTACAACCTCTCAACTGCTCATTCTAGTGTTTACTTACACTTGTAATACAACTTAATTCAGATTTTATTCTTTTCTGAACAAGAATGGAAAATGATGGTTTAAGGAAAACTGCGCACATAAAGAGGTACTGTGCAAAAGTCTGTGGGGGTTCTATCAGTATATAAATGAAACTTATCTTTACTAAGCAGGATGAATATCATACACTGATACAAATCTTTTTAATCTTTATGAAAGGCAGGGTAACATACAGAACTGTCTTCATTCTGATCTTTACCTGTAAGCCACAGTTTATAGTGGACATCATTAAATCTGTACAGAATACAAATTGAGTAGAAATCTATTTAAAACATGCTTTAACATATTTGATTACTCGGTTACTCTGCAGCCAACACTACTTCTACTTATTGAAGATGTTGTTCAACAGTTATATAAAGTTTACTAATACAATTGAGATTAAGTAACATTACAAGTCACGAAATTTTTAAGGGACAACTTATAGCTATGATTCCATACATGGGATGAGTAAACCAATGGCTATTTTCCAAATAAAATATAAAATTCCTGTCATGAATACTTTGTAGTCTCCTAAAAGTTCCCTTAAAAGTTAAGATGGTAAGAAAGATTCAACAGACAAGGCAAACAACTAAATCTCAGCAAGTCTTTTTACAAGGATGCTTGGTGTGGTTACTCAGCCACTGTAGCAACACACCATGTTCATGCTCTATCTGGAAAAAAATTACAGGAAAACGACAACCCCATCAACTGGGTTCTCGGTTCATTCATGGGGTGATGAGGATCAGACCAAGAGCTTGTTGTGAGATTATCAAATGAATTAACCTGTTACATCATCTTAGCAGGAAGACATACTATTTAGTTGGGTGTGCTTGTACACACCTGTCACCCCACCATTTGGGAGGTAAAGGTAGAGGATCAGAACTTCGAGGTCAGCCTCAGCTGTTGGTATTTCAAGGCAAGCGTGGGCTATATGAGATCCTGTCTCAAAGAACCAAAAACAGTTGGGTGGTGCCAGAGCATGCCTTTCATCCCAGCACTCAGGAGGCAGAGGCAGGCAGATCTCTGTGAGTTTGAGGCCAGCCTGGTTTACAGAGTGAGTTCCAGGACAGGCTCCAAAGCCACAGAGAAACCCTGTCTCGAAAAAAAAACCAAAACAACAACAAAAAAACCCAACAACAACAACAAAAAACCCTCCCCTACACAAAACAAAATAGCATTATTCTTAGATTTTAAACAGTTTATTTTTCTTTATGGGCACTGCTTATAATAGAGTTGTACTATAGAAATCAAAGCAAAAATAAAAAACAAAATTTCCTTGAAGACCACTTCCTTTTCCTTATTTGAAATAAAATTGAATCAGTTAAAAGTATTAATTTCCATACCAAATACACATCAAAGAACTCTTCCAGGTAGCATTTGCATATCAGTGACAACTGTATTCAACTACTTTAAACCAGTATGACTCCAGATCATCCGGGACACAAGAACACTCATTAGTTAATGTTGCTACTATTTAGGCAAGAAAATAGATTAAAACCACCAGAGGGTACAGGAAACGGGGTCATATGTAATTTCTAAAAAAATTTCAAATCCTGTTTGTTACAGGAAGAAAATCAACTTTTGATTTGAGCTGTATCACCTATGTAGACTTAAAACACTGCCCATAAAATGCTTAACTATATACACTGCAAATTTAGTAAAAATGGTTTTCATTGTTGTTTTTGAGACAGAGTCTTCTGTAGCCCTGGCCAATATTAACAAGTTCTCCTGTGCTGGGATCACAAGTGTATGCTACATCCAGCTGGTGAAACACTTTGAAGGTCCAGAGGTCTAATTCCTGATGAAGACGATGATTAGCAAGTATCTCAAGGTTAGTTTCAGCCCTTGTTCTCAGATACACTCTGCCTAGATAGATATGCACTAAGAAACTCCTCAGATTAAGAAATACAGACCACATCACTTCATCTTTCCTACTGTTGTTGTTTATGGAACCTTACATTTTGAAGCTGAGTAGGAAAACCTGAGATGAAGTCATAGTTAAGAAAGGGATCACAGAAAAGATCGTGGTTTTTGAAACCATGTAATATGCATTCCTTTGTGTATTACTTTTCATTAATGAAGTTTTCTGGATGCTACTAGAATACAAGGTCCACAAGCTGCACGATGGATCTTGGTTTATAAACTTGCAAGCTTTCAGTGCGTACAGTGAGTTCTGACTAGCCCAGCTCTAACTGCAATAATAACTCCTAAATAAGAGCAAACCTAAATTCCCAGTAGAAAGAAAATGGGAACCCCCTGGACTGTCTACATAATAAACTTGTCCCTAATGTAAAGTCAAAGTATAAAATCCTCTGCGGCATGCTATTTTCTCAGCTACATCTCTTTGATTCAGAAATAAGAAAACATCTTTTCACTACGTTTGTTTTTGAACTGATTCTCCTGCCTAGACCTCACAAGTGCAGGGTTATAGGTCATGCCATTACATCAGGTTTAAGTTTGCTTCCCTCATTTTCCCCTCAATTTAGGGAAACCTGAAAAAACATTAATTTTTACTTTGTTCCACAATATTCATATTCTTATGAGCTGAAAATTTCACTTGCCTATTTTATGTATTTATAAAGCCCTCAGAAATGTAGCTTGGGCGAGTAAGACTCCTGAAAAAGCAACATTCCCACACAACATTTTGGTAAAAATATTCTATGCACATGAGTAAAACAATCTTTTCCTCGTTTGGGAATTTCCTAATCACACTAGTTAAGAAAAGAAACCATCTTAACTAATTAAAAGTTATTACCAATGTTAAGACAACTGAGCACCACCTAGTGTTCAATTTCTGCAACTACCGACCTTAATTTAAAATATTAAAAACCAGTTTCTAAAAACATTTTGGAAATGCCTTTCCTCCCCCAGTAAGTTGATGACTGCAAAATAAATCATAAGAACGTACATGTTATCAAAACTAGTATAAAAATAGCCACATACATACTTTTAAATATGAAAAGCAAACCTATCACTTTTGCCTTTAAATAGATTTCTGCCTGGTGTGGTAAATACATTTAATCTCAGCACCCAAGGAGGCTGAGAAAGGAGGATCATAGCGAGTATATAGTGAATTCCAAGCTAGCCTCAGATACAGAGTTGGATTCTGTCTCAAAATATAACACAATAAAACATAAGACAGATTTCTGCCTCCATTTGTATCAAAATCTCTGGGCAACTGGAATATACACAAAGACTGTACTTTGTACAGTCAACAGCTATGCAAAAGGAGGGCTTAATCATAATTTATGCATACAAGGCAAATTGTTTATTCAAAACATCCATTTACTTACTGGAAGGGGTCAAAGTAGGAAAGGCAGCAATGTATATTTTTTCTTACATCTTTTTTGAGTTCAATTACATCAAATGATCAAAGTGGGCTTAACATATCACTTAAGATATTTTCAGCTTTGAAAAAAGCGACCTTAGTATTGAATCGAGTCTGTCTCAACAAATTACAATCAATACAGTGAAAACTTTTCCTTGAAGTCTATGACCAGATTCCAAACTTGCAGGGCAATCTTCAGAAGGACTGGAATGTAAAATGTTGAGTTCATTTTAGATCTGAAAGAGAAAAGAACATTAAGTCAAAGGGAAAAAGCAATTCTAAAAGGATCCTTTACATGCATGTGCAAATTCACATGTACTACTTTGGGTGCTGTGTATGTTAGGTGGCTTGGAGTACGAGGACCTCAGGTGTTGGCCCTCACTTTTAGCATTGTTCACTGTTCTGTATGTCAGGCTAGCTGGCCTAAGAGCTTCCAAAAATTCCTCTGCCTCCACCTCCAATTTTGCCATAAAAACCCTAGGTTTAGAAAAGGTACTATAGCCAGCAGTATGTGGACTCTATAGCAGATTCTTGAGGGTCTGGCAAGCACTTTATCCTGAGCCAATCCAGGAGAAAAGTACTCTTAAATTCTAATACTCTGTGTATAAGGGAAATGTTCTCACAGGCCATATAGGAAATCAACCCAGTCAAGAGAAAATTTCCCAAATAAGCTTTTCTGTATTGCAGCTCACTTTGAGAAATTCTGATTTTCATAATATTTTACGTGATACATGCTATTTTTCTAAAGAATATGTATATTAGCCAGGTGTGGTGGTGCAGTTTTAATCCCAACGCTTGGGAGGCTGAGGCAGGCAGGTAGGTAGGTAGTATAGAGTTTGAGGTCAGTATATTTGTGTGTGCAGGTACCTACCAAGGCCAGAAGATGGCACTGGATTCCCTGGAGCTGGAGTTATAGGCAGTGTGAGAATCAAACTGAGGACCTCTGTAACAGTAGTAAGTGCTCTTAACCACCCAGCCAGCCATCTCTCTAGTCTACGGGACTATTCTTTATTGTCCTTCCTTCTTTTTAGTTTTTTTTTTTTTGGGGGGGGGGGGCTCACTCTATATGGCTGGCTGACCTTGAACTCAAAGAGATTCACCTACTTCTGCCTCCTGAGTACTAGGATTAAAGGCCTGTGTCACCATGTCTGGCCCCCGAGAACATTCTTTTTTCTTTTTTTAGAGACAGGATTTCTTTGTATAGCTCTGGCTATCCTGGAACTCACTTTGTAGACCAGACTGGCCTTGAACTAACAGAGAACGAGAATATTCTTAATGAGGTTTGCTGTCTCTTTCCCTTTGCATTGTGTATTTGATAATTCATTTTACATTTTTACTTCTTTAAATAAAAAAGACTAAGTTTTCTCTATTTGTGTGTATGAGTGTACCTGTGTCTGCACTTATGTATGTGGGTGCCAGTGGAGACCAGAAGTCGTCAGGTTCCCTGGAGCAGGAGTTGCAGGCAGTTGTGAGCTGCCTCCTCATATGTGTGCTGGGAACCAAAGCAGGGTCCTCTGCATGAGCAACAAGCATCCTTTACCAATGAGCCATTTCTCTAGCCCAGATTTGAGATTTTATACTTTTAAAGTAGCAACAGACATAAAGGAACATGATCTCTTTTGAGAACTAGGTAAGTATGTCTTCAATCCTTTTCTTTCAAGTTGATAACAGGAGTACAGATAGAACACTTATCAACACTTAGAAAACAGCCAGAGAATGTCCCCCAAGGGAAAGAGCAGAGTTCTCAGGTGATAAACAAACTCTTATTTAAAACAAACAAACAAACAACCACCACAGTGCCGGGCAGTGGTGGTGCAGGCCTTTAATCCCAGCACTCAGAGGCAGAGGCAGTCGGATCTCTGTGAGTTCGAGGCCAGCCTGGTCTACAAGAGCTAATTCCAGGACAGGAACCAAAAGCTTCGGAGAAACCCTGTCTCGAAAATTTAAAAAAAACAAAAACAAAAACAACCACCACCACCCCAAAAAAATGGCCTGAGGTTCTCTGGAACCCACATGAACTTACCTCTACATGCATCCCCTAGCATGAGTGTACATGTCCATCATTCATTCATACATACAAAATAAATGTTTCAAAATAATGTTCCTAACAATGGAAATTCTGGGGTGGAGATGGCTCACTGGGTATCTACTGCTATTGCAGTCTTGTTACTGGCACCCACATTGGGTATATCACAACTGCCTTTAATCCCAGCTCCAGAGAATCTGATGCCCTCTTTTGGTCTCCATGGGCACCCAACCCACCAAAACTACACTTAAGAAAAAAAAAATTAAAAAGGGAAACATAAATTCGGCATCACCTGTGGCTTCCTATTTTTCCTTTTTTTCCCTTTCCTCCTCTCTTTCTGAATTACTAGAGAATCACACAGTAATTATACGCTACATCATAAAAGTGTGTGTGTTGGGGGGAATTAGAGAAATGCTTTTGGCTAGGCTCAAGAAAACTACATTAAAAATGTTCAAGAGTGGTGGTGGTGTCGCACGCCTTTAATCCCAGTACTGCTTTGGAGGCAGAGGCAGGTGGATCTCTGTGAGTTCCAGGACAGCTGGGGCTGTTAAACAGAAAAACCCTGTGTTGGAAAAGAAAAAGCTAAAAAAAAAATCACTTTCTATTGTTAAAATGTTATTTACTTTTTGTGCATATCACACGTGTGCCTAATGGCCTCAGAGGCAAGAAGAAGGCATGTAAGTCCTCTGAACTGGAGTCAGAGATGGTTATGAGTTAATATGTGTTTTTAAAGATGTATTGAGTAGGGCTAGAGAAATGACTCAGTGGTTAAGAACACTGACTGCTCTTCCAGAGGACCAGGGTTCAATTCCACATGGCAACTCACAGCTGACTGTAACCCCAGTTCCAGGGGACCCGATGCTGTCACACAGACATACAGGCAAGCAAAACACCAATGTACATAAAATAAAAATTGTATGTACTCTGGGTGTGGTGCAAAGTATTGCTATGTAGATCCGGCTGGCCTGGTATTTGCTGGTATTGCAATCAAGGCTGACCTCAAACTTGCAGCAGTCACCTGGCTTCAGCCTCCCAATTATCAGGATTACAGGTATATCTTACCACACTTGCTAACAGTTTGACCTCTAAATACTTCTTGTGATTTTAACACACAGCTAAGTCTCAAAATATACTTTTTATTTTTAATATATCACCAGGGATAAATAGTGGCTCTCATTGTGACATTTTATACATGTACATTTTGCCTCTATTCAATATTCACCCACTATCCTTTTCTCTTCACCTTGATCTTCTTCCTATTTCTGAACAGTGCCTTTACTTTCATGTTCCTCTCACCCCTAAATATAGACTCTCACTTAAATGTTCTATATTCCCAGTATTATAGGAATCTAAGGGAAAGGGACAGTATCTATGTATGTAACTCATGAACAGAAACCAGAAAAAGCAGGCTGTATCTACTTACATCATCGATGTCTTCATCATCATCCCCAATGTCATCAAACTGAATTTCATCATCATCTCCAGGACCAAATGTATCAGTTTCATTGATTTTAGCTAACAAAAACATACACAAGAAAAATACTGATAATATAATCAAAATGTTGACTTCCAACTTTCTACTAATTTGGCTATACGGAATTTCTTTTGTACACAAGGGCTCTTTAGCAAGTCAAGTTCTAATTCTCTGAAGCAATTATACCCTCTAGGTATGCTTCAGAAATTTGTGCACATACTAACAACTTTATTTCCTATCTCAAAAAAAGAAAGAAAGAAAAAGTAAGTTACTCTAGGAGGGAGAAAAGTTGGAGGAGTCATTTGCTGGACTTGGGATTAGTGATTGTTTCAAGTGTCCAGAAAACTCAACTTCTGATCAAAATGAACCATACAGAATCAATCAATCAATCAATCAATCAATCAACCAATCAATCAATCAAACACTAATAAGAAAAGAACTTATTTCCACTATAGGGTAAAAGGGACAACTGGAACAGGAAACCAACCAGTCCCTGAGCACCCTGAACTCAGAGCCAGTATCATCTTTATCCCTAAACCCAGGACCAAACAAACATGCCCCGACTCTGAAACCAGTGTCAAAGAAACACACTTTGTCCCTAGAATCAGAGCCATGGAAAGAAATATGCCATGGTCCTAAGTCAAAAGGCTAAAAAAGACCAATGAAAGAAACAATATGGCCTCGAGATCAGAACCATCTCTGCCCCTGACTAACCAATCCCTGAACAGGGAGAACTAATCAATTCCTCTTCTCCCTGGAAAACTCCACCCCTAAGAAGCCCTATGTAAACCTTTCTACTTGTTCAGTTACAGAAGCAGCCACTCTCTTGAACTCCTTCCCAAATAAATCTCTTTCTCAAAAGTCTTGGTTAAAGATCTTCACTTGCAGGCACAGAATAGAAGAACCTGGCTGGGACACTTCTTAGGGGATTGAGCTGAAAAACCTTGCTGGGATGCCCCCTAAGGTGGGGGATAGGGGCTGAGCAAGGCTGAGCAGAGAAAGAAAGAACTTTTCGCAGAGCGGGAGAAGAGTGGTGCATTCTGCAGGGGCTGCCCCTTTAGCAGAGTGTCAGCAAAAGAAGTAACGTCTTGGGACAAGCTGATAGCTCGGCTAGGACATTCCTTTAACAGAGGCTCGGCTGTAGCAGCTCTCCAGAAGAGCAGGATTGTTATGTCCTGCAGAGACTATCCCCCAACACAACCCAGCTTCAGGTAGCCTGGCTTCCCAATAAAGTAAGGATACTTTCCCTCCAGGGTTGAGTTGTCCTATTGCGGCTGTAAGTATTATCCTGGCTTCCTGATAAGCCAGGATATCTTTGCAGCTCCAGAGCTTAACATATCCCCTACACCCACCAATCATTAATTAGGAAGAAACATTTGGACAAATCATACTTTTCCCTAAGGAATGAAAAGAAATAAGACATGCTACTTCACCACCAAATATCTCTTTTCCCTCTGATAAGGTTACAGAAGGCTTGTATTTTGAGGGGGAAAACAATCCATACTACTTAATCACTGACTTTGTATTTACACATATAAAGGACAGACTCTTGAAGAGATCTTTTCAGTAGTGCTTGTCATTCCATCTAGGTCTTGTACATGCAAGGGTGGCCTCTACCGAACTGCACTGCCAACTTTTCTTGAAGAGGTTTTAAAATACCGTAAGAAATAATTCCTTTGGCTGACAATGTAATTACTCATTAAACACTCTTATCAGGAACAGAATTTTAATAACCTTTCTATGGTATCTAGTATGAAGTATAAGCAGGTATATTTAACTCTACTCATGCAAACACAAAAACAAATAGGAGGAACAAAATTTCATTGCCTAAACACTAGCATGTGACAAGTTAATAAAGACTCAGCCATTCATTACCATGCTCTGGAAGCTCGCCATATGCCTTGAGACTTCTAGCTTCATCTGCATTGTATTTTAAAATGACATCGGCTTTGTTATCCTTAAAAAAACAAGTAATTTTTGATTAACACACTATTATTTGTTATGTCATACATTATTTTAAATTGAATTAAAAAGATCAAATCTTAATGTTTTGCTATAAAATCCTCCTCACCTTCCTTAGGTTAAACTCCAAAAGTTTTAGAACACCACTGAGCAATGATTAAAAATTCAGAAAGATATAGCTCACATCTATAACAGCAGAATAACATTTTTATATTATTTATAATTATCCTTTAATCAGAAGCACAAATGCCCCCCTGAAACTACAATTTACAGAGTGATCAAACAGATTTACAGATGCAAGCCAAAGAGTGAGACTTGGTATCATAGCCTAAGGAATTTTAAAAATGTATATGTGTATATACACGCATGTATGTGTGGGTACCTGTGGAAGCTAGAAGGGGGCATCACATCCCCTGGAACTGGAGTTACAGGTGGATGGGAGCCACCTGATGTGAGTGCTGGGAACCAAACTCTGGTCCATTGTAAGAGCAGCAAGCATTCTTAACTGCTGAGCCATCTTTCCAGCCCTGATATAAGGAAATAAATATGCCTTTTCATATATGTTAAGGCCAACTGTAATGATTATTAATCTTGTCAATTTGACAGGATCTAGAATCACAACAAAAATAAATCTTTAGGTCTTTCTGCGAGTGGAGTTTCTAGATGAAGTTTATTAAAGTAGGAAGGTTCACCCTAAATGCAGACAGTGCCATTCCATGGGATGGGGTCCTGGACTGAATAAAAAACAGAAAGATAAGAATACTAGCATTCGTTCACCTTCCTCTGCTTCCTGACTACAGATGCAGTGAGAGCAACTGTCCCAGCTCCAGCTGTCATTTCCCCACTATGATGGAATACACCCTTAAACCGTGAACCAAACGAATTCTTCCCTACACTGCTTTTTTAAGGTAACTTTTCACAGTAAGTAAACTAATACTTGGTATTAACCAGACTTTTTTTGAAAATAAATGGACCAGAGGGCAACTCTGTGGAACCTTTCCTTCCCTTCCATCTTCGTGTGGGTTCCGGGGGCCTAAACTCAGGTCATCAGGCTTATCTAGTTGTCTCACTGGCACCCAATTTGTCTTTGTAAATTTTTTTTAAAAAATCTTATTTCGTCTGTGTTGCACTAGCAAGACATGATGCCTCAAAATGTTTACATTTCCCTATTTGAGAAGAATTCCACTCTTTCTAAAGGTGAAGAATGGGTTGCTTCAATTTTAAGGGCACTGTCATCTAAACTAGCACTTTAAAAATTTTAAAAAGTATACAGAAAGAGGGATGTGGATAGCAAGAACTTGAAATTTTTTTTCTTAAATTTCCTTTTCAGATTCATTTTTGAGTATGAATATTTTGCTTGTATTATGTATGTCCATCACATGTGTGCTTGGTGCTCACAGATCAGGAGCCATCAGATCCCTTGGAACTGTTGATGGTGTTAGTGTTGAAAACTAAAACCAGATTCTCTGCAAGGGTAAGTGCTCCTAATGGCCAAGCCATCTCTTCAGCCCTAGAAGACAGTAATGCCACAATCTCTCTGGACCACCCTCAAAGTGACAGAAGAAAAAGAAAGGATCATGGGAGATTATAGTCAGTATTAAGCCTCTCTAAATTTTAGTGTCCCTTCTAACAAGGAATTAAAGCCTTTCTTCTTCTAGGGTTACTGTTAAAATATAAAAAGAACGAATGGTTTATGAATTTGGAGCAGCTTTTCTCAACCAAAGCACTAATGATAATTCTGAGTCAGATCATCTTTGCTGTGGGATATGGTGCATTAGAGGGCGTCCCACATTCCCAGTACTCTACCTACCTACCACTTACTAAGAACCTCACTCAAGTTATGGTAACCAGAAGAGTCTCCAAACACCGCCTAGGACCCTCAGAAGGATCAAATCACCCACAGAGAACCCTACGGTTTGAAACAAAGATGTCAATGCTTTAATCTGAAACACAAAAGTAAAAAACTCACAAAAACTAAGTATGATAAAAGCCACAATAATAGGAATTTAATAAAAGGGTGCACACTTGTAATACCAACATGGGGGGGGGGTGTACAAGAGGATCAGGAACTCAAGGTGACCCTCAGAAACCCAATCTCAGCATAGTGACAGACTAGCTGCCTCAGGTCCCTGCTGCTATGACCACCATAAATTGACTGTCCCCTCAAAATGAACCAAAATAAACCCTTCCCTCTTTTTGCTTTTGTCAGTGATTAGAAAAAAAAAAAAAACAGGCTATATTCCATTATGGGATGTAACAGGATTCATTCAGCAGTAAAACCCTACAATAATGGTTTCTAGATTTTTAAAGATCTGTACAGGAAGAGAAAAAAATGAAAAAGGAACAAAATGACCACATAGTAGTATCATCTATTCTAATTATTTTTATTTTATGTGCTTTAGTGTTTTGCCATGGGTGCCAGATCTCCTGGAACTAGAATTACAGTCAGTGCTCTTAACCATCAAGCCATCTCTCCAGTCCCACATCATTTATTTTAAAAGAGGAACTTCAAATAGTAAAGATAAGGAAACCATTTTGCACTATACAAGCTAAATGCTTGACTCCTTACACTGGCATTTGGGAACCACACTGCCAGGGACACCAAGCATAATGGCTACAATACAATGGGCTCTTAGGAAATGGCTCATCAAGTTCAACAAAATATAAACAAATTTAAAAGTGATTTTTACCTGGTAATCTCGGAGGCCCACCAATATGATGTCTGAGGTATTTATCCAAACCTACAAAAGAAAAGTCACTGCATAATCTATTTTCAATAATAAAGCAGAATCAAGACATTTCAGAGATGATTCACTTAGAAACAGATGAGTTCAGAAAGCACTTGGCTATCTACTATGAAAACAGAAAAATGCTGTATTTTTCTGTCTTTTACCCACCCAAATGTATACAGTTTTCATGATCATTTATTATCCTTGTGAAGGATTGATATCAACAAAATAAAATACACTCTCAACCTGAATCCCACTCTCACTCAGAGCCGGGACTTCCCAGAACCCAAAGGGCCACCTGCCAGGATTCTTTAGTTCTCCTTCAAACTGGAACAGTTCCCTCGTCCTTTCCCTCTTTCATAACACCAGAATGTTCCCCAAATTAGATTTGTTGACTATTTCCTAATGATTCAGATTCAGACCAAATGTTTTGGGCAGGAATACAACACAAGTGAGGCAAATGATTCTTTAAAGAATGTAATCTATAAAATGATCACTATGGTCTTCTACTGGACTTACACCAATATCCTCAGGTCCATAAAATCTGCAGAGGTGGGAGGCTGGACATGTAGCTCAGTGGTTGAAGTGTGGTTGTGAGTAACATGTAAAGGGGCCCTGGGGTGGCTCCCCGCAACACACAAACACACACCCCTACCTGTAAAGGCATTTCCTCTACCCTCCTCTATATTTTCACATTAGAACAAAACAACTGTTCTGTCCACACACCTACCTTTTTTCTCAATTTCCCTCTGATATGGCATAGTCTCTTCACACCATCAAAACACATTGCTTCTAATCGTCCATTTCCCAACATTTTGATTACCTGAGCATATTCTACATGGATTGAGTAGGGGAGAAAAAAAAAAGGAATGAAATATTGCTCGCTTTTTTGATGAAAGCACCTTTTATGTCCATTGAAAATTGACAAGAGCATGTGACTGCACTGGTTAGGGATAAATATACATTGGGCAAATATAAAATAAATACAAGGGAGTTAAACACTTGGCTAGTTAATGGTTGAACCAGAGACAAGACTTTGTAATATAACAACCTGGGTCTGTTATTAGATGTTTTAATTATCTACTTGTTTTCAGTAAGGAGACAGACTGACTCCTGCCCTTGTGACCACGTACTACTTCTAGAGATCAAAGGTACCATGTCCCAGTATGTACACTATACCTCATACAGTTCACATTCAGATCTTTACCTTATTTCTTTGAATCCTTAGAACAATCTCATGGAATCCTCAGTCCAAGTACTTTAAATGTTAGTGATATCCTTGCTGAATCAGTATAGCAATAATTATTCTTAGAAAGCCAGAATTATCTTTTACTTGGGTAAAATACCAAATTATTATTATTATTTTGGTTTTTCAAGACAGGGTTTCTCTATGTAGCCTTGACTGTCCTGGAACTCTCTGCAGACCAGACTGGCCTCCAACTCAACTCAGAGGCCAGCCTGCCTCTGCCTTCTGAGGGCTGGGATTAAGGGTGTGCACCACCATCACCCGGCTATTTTCTTTATCTTATGATTGGGCTGGGCTGGAGAGGTGGCTCAGAGGTTAAGAACACCGACTGTTCTTTCTTTTTTTAAAAAATATTTATTTATTTATTATGTATACAATATTCTGTCTGTGTGTATGTCTGCAGACCAGAAGAGGGCACCAGACCTCATTACAGATGGTTGTGAGCCACCATGTGGTTGCCGGGAATTGAATTTAGGAACTTTGGAAGAGCAGGCAATGCTCTTAACCACTGAGTCATCTCTCCAGCCCCCCCCACCACTGTTGTTCTTTCGCAGGTACTGAGTTCAGTTCCCAGCAACCACATGGTGGCTCACAACCATCTGTGATGAGATCTGGTGCCCTCTTCTGGCATGTGTATACATAATAAATAAATAAATAAATAAATAAATAAATAAATAAGCTTTGTATAACTTTAAATAATAATAAAGAAATACACACACAAAAAAGATTGGGCCGGGCGGTGGTGGCACATGCCTTTAATCCCAGCACTCGGGAGGCAAAGGCAGGCAGATCTCTGTGAGTTGGAGGCCAGCCTGGTCTAGAAGAGCTAGATCCAGGACAGGCTCCAAAGCTACAGAAAAACCCTGTCTAGAAAAACCACAGAAAAGATTGGGGTGGGTAGCCTTGGTTAGCCTGAAACCTGCCTGTCTCTGCCTCCCAAGTGTTGTGATTAAAGGTAAACATTACCCTGCCTAGCCTAAAATGCCAAATTCTTAACTAGAATCCTTTAAAAAGCCAACACCCAACTGTCTGTACAAATAAACTCAGAGGCAAGAAGCCAGAAGTCTAGTCTCTTAGTCAGAAAATGTTTGATCCCCAATACAGAAAAACAAACTAGAAAAATCTAACAAGAACCCAACTATCCAGCCTCTTACCTTGCCCATCCTCTTTGAACACCAGCTCTCGCTTTTCAGATTCATTCTCGTTCTTTCCTCTACGTCTGTTTTTACCTCCTTTTCCTAATGAGTTGTTAAAAGAAAAGGTTATCAATCATCTGCAAAACATCCTGCAAAGGAACAGTGATAAACATATACTGTTTAACAGACTTAGAAAACCATCTTTAGGGGCTGGAGAAATAGCTTAGTGGTTAACAACACTGACTGTTCTTCCAAAGGACCCAGGTTCAATTCCGAGTACCCACATGGCAGCTCATGACTATCTGTTATTTCAGTCCTAGGGGATCTGATACCTTCACACCAATGCATGTAAAATAAAGTTAAATTTAAAAAGTTTATAAAAAAAAGAAAGAAAATCATCTTTAAAACTCAATTAAATTTAAAACTCCACCTAATCTGGTCAATCATGTTAAACTTACCATATTCAGGTTTATGTTTCCATGTTACCCTCACCACTCCTCATAGTTTTCCCTGGGGACTTTACATCTTAACTAACATCCTCATCTTTTTTCCTTTTATTAAAAATGTTTTTCAGTTGGGTGGCAGTGCTATACGCCTTTAATCCCAGCACTCAGGAAGCAGAGGCAGGCAGATCCAGCCTGGTCTACTAGAGCTAGTTCCAGGACAGGCTACAAAGCTACACAGAGAAAGCCTGTCTTAACCCCCCCCCCCCGGTTTTTCTTAATATATTCTGATTCCCTCCAATACCTCACTTCCCCCACTTCCCCTCCCATGCGGATCCACCCGTCTCTCATGAGAAAATGAACAGACATCTAAGGAATAATATGACACAGTAAGATAAATGAAAACAAATTGATACATGACAAAACCAAACACGAATCCCATAAAACCCACACCCAGAAGCCATAATATATAAGCAAAAGAACTGTTAAGGTAAAAAAAAGTTCCAACAGGACATGTGATCAAAGAACTTCCAAAGATGTTGCTGGGTTCCTTTTGTGCTGGCCACCTACTGCTGGGCGTGGGACCAGCCCTTAGGAGTCGGTAGATGACCAATGACCATTCTTAACTACTTAAGAATGCCATCTGTTTACTTGTCACAATCACCTTGAATATTAACATTTAGTCCCAGTTTATCAGTAAGTTTACTAAAGGTCAGAGATTAAATTTTAGTCAATGAGCTCAGGACCCCAGATCCAACCCTAACCCTCTCTGTCCTAGTAAAGTGCTCATATTAGGGCTCCTTTCCGGAGACTTCTGTCACCACACTCTTAACTACATGGGCCTCAGCTTTCTTTTTTTTTTTTTTTTTTTTTGAGACAGGGTTTCACACTATAGCTCAGACTAGCTTCGAAACTTCGGCAGTCCTTCTGTCTCAGCCCCTGAATGCTGGCATTATGAGTATGAGCCACCATACTGATCCCTGACAAATTTTACCTCGCCTTTCTCATACCTGACCCCTCCTATGAAAAGAAGAGCTGGTAAAAAGATGACAGGAGGCAGAAACATGAAGCTATGGCTACTGGAATGGAGCATACTTATCTCATGATGGTAGAAGACTAGTAACAGTTAAAGATTCTGAACCTCATCCTTAAAAATGTACCATACCTGAGACAGTCTGGTTTAAAAGCAAGGTCAACTGCCTCGAGAGCCTCCTTTAAAATGTGCTTTAATGTTTAAGGGTGTCTGGCGTTCATGTATGTCTGTCCATCACGGACATGTCCAGTGCCAAAACAGACACTGGGAAAGGGCATTGGATTCCCTACAAATGGAGTTACAGACAATTGTATGCTGCCATATAGGTGTTGGGAATTACTATTGAGCCATTCTCTAGGCAAGTATACAAATGGTGAAACAATACAAAGGGATATTATACAGTAATAAAGAAATGTGGCAGTGGTGGCGTGCAGTTTTAATCCCAGCACTTGCTAGGCAGAGGCAAGCAGATTTCTGTAAGTTCGAGGCCAGCCTGGTCTAGAGAGTGAGTTCCAGGACAGCCAGAGTTACACAGTGAGACCCTGTCACAAACAAAAGAAAAAAATAAAAGCTGAAACAAGACCAAGCCTGAGTGTATAACAAAACAGCAATAAAGAGAAAAACCATCTTTTTAACTCCACTTTCTTTCCAAAAGACTATCTAGTTCTTAAGCTTAATAACAATTCTCAAATTCGTTCTTTAACAGAGGTGTTTCAGAGAAGCCCAGGGAGGATGGAGGATCTTTCTTAAAACATACTAAGATGTGATTTAGAATAGTTCTGTCTCCTTGGGACCAAAGGGGAACTTACTATTCACCTATAGGTGGAGTCACCAGAGGAAGATGACTAAGTCCAACAAATATTTATTGAGCATCTTTTAGGCTAAGTGCTATCGAGACAATGTCATTATGACTGACACCATTCCCGTCCTTTTAGGACTTACAACTAGTGTGGGAACCAGAAATCTAGTCACTAGAATTAAAGTGAGAATAAGACCTCACCTGCTGATGTGATCCAGTTGCCATCTCAGAATAAGGAAGTCTACAGACAGCAATTTGAAGACTTTGAACACATTATGCCTATAATTACACTTTTCTCAGGACAATCAGTAAAAATTCTTGCTACACAAAAAGACTGGCAACGTTGATTTTTGAAGCCCTGAAGCATGGCATGGACAGTGTGTTCAAGGTCAGCCTGGGCCACACAGCAAGACGATCTCAAATCAACTTGTCCACAAAACTGTGACCAAGTACTCAGAGGTCTAACGTGAACATTGCCAGGTAATTAAGCAGACTCCCTGGAGTCAGCTCTCAAGCAGAAAAGAGAACACTGGCAGGCGGGGGCAAGCGAGGTGGCCCCAAGGATGAGTTATCAAAGACTTCCTTTTAATAAAATGCACGTGTGCACCTGTGTGTGTGTGTGTGTGTGTGTGTGTGTGTGTGTGTGTGTGGTGGGGTGCCCAGGTGGGCCAGAAGAGGTCACTGGATCCCCTAGAGCTGAAGTTATAAGCGGTCATGAGCTACCCTATGTGGGTGGGTATGGGATGCTAATTTTGGTTCTCTTAACCAGGAAGATAACTCTTCTGCCCAAAGACTTCATTTTTATCTTATTATTTTTGGTTTTTCGAGACAGGGTTTCTTTGTATAAGTCCTGGCTGTCCTGGAACTCAGAGATCCTACTGGCCTCAGAGTTGAAGTTATAGGAGTCAGGAGCTGCCCCGTGCGGGTGTGGGAACCCAATTTTGTTTCTCTTAATCAGGAAGGTATCTCTTCTGCCCAAAGATGACTTCATTTTTATCTTATTTTTGGTCTTTAGAGACGGGGTTTCTTTGTGTAGTCCTGAGGCTGTCCTGGAACTCAGAGATCCTCCTGGCATGTCTCCTGAGTGCTGGGGACTAAAGGTGTGAGCCACCACCAACTGGCCCAAGGGTCGGGGAATGTGTCCCTCTCCTGTGGGACACACAAGTTTTTCCTCTATTTTTACTCGCACAATTATACAGGCAATGAACATGACAAGCCTGTAATTCCAGCTATTTGGTAAACTGAAGCAGAAGAATCCCAAGTTCAATGCTAGTCCCAGCTACTGAGTGAGTTCCGGTTTAGCCCGAGGGCAGAGCAGCAGCAGACTCCTGCTAAGGATAGATTCGGTTCTACAAAAAAACCCACTACCACAAAATAGATAAAACTGAGGCTGGCCTTAAGGATGCTGTACTTCTACTTAGATGAGGCTCTTCATTTTGGAGATACCAAATTAAAAGTGCCCTCATGACCGACAACTTGAGAACATGTTCCCAGAAGAGAGGGAACTTCAAAGGCTTTTTTTTTCCATTAAAACAAATACATGATCTGTAGCAAAAGTGGAAAACTTGGCTAAATAGGATGAAGCGCTCTGGGGTGGCGGGGCGGGGGGGGGGAGTTATGTCCCGTAAAGCTATGGAGTAAAGAGAAACTTTAAAAGTGCATCGGACGTACTGACCACTGGCTACTCGGGAGCAGCCTCAACAGTATCGAGTAAGTGTTCATAAAGAAGCCTATGCAGGAGGTGCCAGATGGGCACGAAAGCAAGAAGGGCATTACCCCTTTTCAAAGTTCAAAGTCGCTCCCAGGGCTTAACTCCCCACGTGCCGGAAAGCCAAGAAGCCCGAGGCAGCTGTTCCCACGGGTCCCCTTGGCGGCGCGGTCAGTGTGGCGCGAACCAGGGGCAGAAGCCCACATTCTCACAAGGAGGCCCTACAAAAATGGCGTCGGCTCCACCCCAATGTGGCCAAACTGGGAACCAGGAGTAACTTCCTTGCGCCTCTGCCGAGCTCCGAGTAGGACGCAGAGAATGCTGCCGGAGGAGAGGCAAGGGAAGATGGCAGGAAGGTCACTGCGGCCTGAGCTGACCTCGAGGCTGCGAGCTGGCCCGGGGAAGCCGGCAGGGAGCGAAGCCGCGGTCCCGGCATCGTTACCTTTATTCTTGGGCATGGCGGCAAAGACGGGCTGGCAGCGTGCGGGACCGTGCTCCGGGTGGCGTCGGCAACGGCGGTGACTCCGGGGGGCGACGCTGAGAAACGCGCGGGATGACGACGATGCGGGAGGCCGAGAAGCGTGCTCGGAAGAGGTTGGTCACTGGTGCTTCCGAGAGCCGCCTGCGCCCACGTTCGGCAGTGGCAAATGGCGTCGCGGCTACAGGCGGCGCTTTTCCCCGCCCTCCCCCTCCCCCGCCCGTGGGCCCGGCCTCCCGCCCTCTCTCTGCTCTACGGCGCAGGCGTGGCCGAGAGGACGCCTTCGGGTGGGAGCCCAGGGAGATGCCGGCCCGGCAGGGGTGCACTGCCACCGGAGGGCACGCGATGGGTGGAGCGAGCGAGGCCCTGGAGGCCCGAAGAGGCTGGCAGGGGCCCCCGCGTCACAGTGGGGGGAGTGGAGGGGGGAAATTGAGGTAGTGCGTGATGCTGCTGCCTTGGCCACCGTCTGCTGATTCCTAGCCAAGTTGAGTCCCAGCTTGACCGGCTGCTGACTCACTAACATAGTTAGCTGAGTTTTGATGTAGCCTTTTCACCGGCCCAGCCAGGCTGGAAAGTCTGAGGCGAAGGGGAGAAGGCCATCTGCCGGGAGTTTCTAAACTTTAATAGAATATTTGGATGGTACTTGGCGGAAAAAAAAAAAAATCTGTCCTCCCTAACTTACCGTAGCCAGGTCTGTTGCTTATTGCCAGCACTTAAGAGTGTTTGCACATAGGAGGTTGCTCAGCACACACAGGACAAAAAGAAGAGGTGGAAGAAAGTCGATATTAGGGACCAACCTCCCAAAATTCACGCTAAAGCTCTAACTCCAAATAGCTATGTATATGGCTGTATTTGGGAGTAAGGTCTTTAAAGAAGTGATTATATTGAAATGGGATGCTTAGACAAAAACTAAGCACCATATACTGGCCTTGGTCCTTCTTGAGCATAGCAAGCACAGGTGCTGCAATGGGGCCCTTGCCTGTGCTAAATATTTCTGACCAGATGTCCACATGATTCACCTCTTCCTCAGTGATCTGATGATCAGATGGAGGAACCTTGCTAAAGGAAAAAAAAAAAAAACCTGGCCCTTTCTCCTATGAGGATTTACATCAAGTACTTGACTTTATTATTATTATTATTATTGTTTTTTGAGACAGGGTTTCTCTATGTAGCCATGACTGTCCTGGAACTCTCTTTGTAGACCAGGCTGGCCTCCTGAGTGCTGGGATTAAAGGCGTGTGCCACCACCGGCCGCCCAAGAACTCGACTTTGAAACAGCTGTACAGTTAGAGTCTGGTTACTTGTGTACTAGGCCTAATTGCTAAGATGATGGAACTATCTAAGATCACAGAGTAAGTTTTGTTTAATCACATTTAACCTCGCCTCTATAAATTCCAGAGCCCAATGTTAGAATCATTTGGACTTTCAGTCAGGAATGGTAGCAATCTTAGCACCAGAGAGATGGAGGAAGCCTGGGCTACACAGGTCTGTCTCAAAAAAAAAAAAAAAAAAAAAAAAAAAAAAGTGCAAGTTGCAAAAAACTACAAATGTCATTTTCCATTCTTTTGAGACCGGGTCTCATTGTATATGTAGAACAGAATGTCCTTAAACTCAGAGGCTCCTGCAGTCTCTGTGTGCTGGGATTAAAGGTGTGGACTGGCACATCCGGCTTCCCCTGTTTTGTTTAATAGAGGATTTCTCTGTGTAACTGCCCTGGCTGTCTTGGAACTGGCTTTGTAGACCAGGCTGGCCTCAAACTCATAGAGATCCATCTGCCTCTGCCTCTTCAGTGCTGGGATTAAAGGCGTGTGCCACCACCGATCAGGACCCTTGCCACTTTTAATTACACTCTGAGAAGTACATCTGTTGATGACTCTCTCTCTCTCTCTCTCTCTCTCTCTCTCTCTCTCTCTCTCTCTCACTCTCTCTCTCTCTCTCAAAGCCTACAGCACCCGGTATTCCCAGGCGGTCTCCCATCCAAGTACTAACTAGGCTCAACCCTGCTTAACTTCCGAGATCAGACGAGATAGGACACATTTAGGGTGATATGGCCGTAGATTGTTGATGAGTTTCTCAATCTCACTTCTATTCTTGTTTTTTAATTGGATAGTCCTTCACTGAGGGCAGGAGCTGTAGGATGTTTAACAATATTTCTGGTCTCCAATATCCACATCTTTGATTTCTTCCTCCACTCATGACAACCAAAACTATCTCCAGACACTGCCAAATGTCCACAGTGGAGAAGTAGTGTGAGATGATTATACCACATTCCTCTGTCATTTAGTTTCCTTTCCTATAGAGAGGATGTTAAGAAGCTAATGTTTACAGAAGGGTTATTTAAAATAAGCCTACTTTTAGCCAGGTGTTGGTGGCACACACCGTTAATCGCAGCACTCAGGAGGCAGAAACAGATGGATCTCTGTGAGTTCCAGGCCAGCCTGGTCTACAAAGCGAGTTCCAGGACAGCCAGAACTGTTACCCTGAGAAGCCCTGTCTCAAATAACCAAAAAAGGGCCTCCTTTTAAATTTCTACATATTATTACTGGAATGGGGATATTGTGGTGCTCAGAGGACAATTTTGTGGAGTTGGTTCTCTTTGCTACACTGACACGGGCTTCCAGGACTGACCTTAGTTTACCAGGCTTTCCTGGCAGGTGATTTTACCTGCTGAGCCACCGTGCAGGTCTAAATAAGCCCGTTTTGAAGTGAAGCTATTTGCTCTAGGTAGCCACACAACTATCCCTCTGCTGTGACTTCCACAACAACAAAACAGAGACGGGGTAATGGCTTGCTTCAAGATCTGAAATGTACTGTCTCTTGGTTGTGTTGTTTTGTATTCAGGGTCTCACTATGTAACCCAGGCTGACCTGGAACTATGTAGCCCAGCTTCCCTCCAAAACTTGCAGCAATCCTCCTGCCTCAGCCTCATACATGCTAGAATTATAAGTGTGAACTACCAGGCCTAGCTACTTCTTTTAGTCAGTTTTGAAGGCTCTAACTCTAAGATCAAAGTAGAGGCAAGTCTGGTTTCTTCTGAGGTCTTTATGGCCTATAGGTGGCTAGGAAAATGTTCCTTTATGCCTAGGTGCTAACTGCCTTCATAGGTTTTGTTTTTGAGATAGGGTCTCACTATGTAGCCCTGGCTAGTCTTTAACTCACATACTTACCTTCCTCTGTCTCTTCAGTGCTGGGATTAAAAGTCTGTATCACCACGCCCGATTTATTGTCATTTTCTGAGTTATACTCTCTGATCTTAGATAGTTCCATCATCTTTGTAAACTTTAGTTTTCTCATCACAGAAATCAATGCAGAATGTTAGGAGTTTAGCAATTAGGCTTACTACACAAGTAATAACTTGTACAACTGTACGGCTACAAGTTTAAAAGTCAAGTAGTTGGGTGGTGGTGGTACACACCTTTAATCCTAGTACTTAGGAGGCAGAGGTGGGTCTCTGTGAATCAAGGCCAGCCTGGTCTACAAAGAGAGTTCCGGGACAGCCAAGATAAACCCTGTCTCAAAAAACCATAATAATAATAATAATGATAATAATAATAATAATAATGTCAAGTACTTGATGTAAATCCTCATAGGAGAAAGGGCCAGTTTTTGTTTTGATTCCTTTAGCAAGGTTCCTCCATCTGATCATCAGAATCACTGAGAAAGAGGTGAATCATGTGGACATCTGGTCAGAAATATTTAGCACAGGCAAGGGCCCCATTGCAGCACCTGTGCTTGCTATGCTCAAGAAGGACCAAGGCCAGTATATGGTGCTTAGTTTTTGTCAACTTGGCACAAACTAGAGCTACCAAGGAAGGGAGAATTTTAACCCAGGCATTATTGCCATTAGATTGGCCTGTGGTCATGTGTTTGTGGGGGTGTTTTGATTAACAATTGATGTGGGACCAGGCAGCTCACTGTGAGCTGTGCCACCTGGGCAGGTGATCTTGAACTTATAAGAAAGCAGGCTGAGCAAGCCCTAGAGAACAAACCAGGAAGAAGCATACATTCTTCCATGGTCTTGGCTGCAGCTCTTGCCCTGACTTTCCCACTATGGTGACTGTGACCAGGACTTTAAGCCAAATAAACTTTTCCCTCCCCAAGTTGCTTTTGGTCATGGAGTTTTGTAGTGTTAGGAGCGGCGGGGCTGCATCCCCGCCACCCGGCCGCCCTCATGGCTAGCTTATGCCCGAAATAATTACATGGAAACTGTATTCTTTTAAACACTGCCTGGCCCGTTATCTGTAGCCTCTTACTGGCTAACTCTTACATATTAATCTAACCCATTTCTAATAATCTGTGTAGCCCACCAGGTGGCTTACCAGAGAAGATCTTAACCTGTGTCTGTCTGGAGTGGGAGAATCATGGCGACTCCTTGACTCAGCTTCTTTCTCCCAGCATTCTGTTCTGTTTACTCCACCCACCTAAGGGTTGGCCTATCAAGGGGCCTAGGCAGTTTCTTTATTAATAAGAAATCACTCCCACATCAGAGTTTATTACAACAGATAGCAAACTAGAACAGATGGTATGACAAAGAATCAGAAATCCAGGGAACAGCTTGGGAGAGAGTAGACCAAAATTAGAGATGTAAGGAGACCAGATCACTCAGTTGGTTTTAAACAGATCATTTTGGCTTGTGTGTTAAGAATGGCTGGCTGTATTGGACAAAGGTAGAAATAGAAACCAGGCATGCTATACTGCGATTGTCCAAGCAAGACAGCTGTGGTGGTTTCAAATAGGGCAGCTTCTTTGGGTATGATGACATATTCTAAAACTAGGCTATCATTATGGCCATGCAACTGTGTACATGTGCTAAAAACACTGGATTGTAAATTTTAAATGGGTAAACTTTATGGTATATGAATTGTATCTCAACAAAAATATCTTAAAAAGAACCGGGAGCCGAGTGTGGTGATACATGCCTGTAATTCCAGCACTTTAGATGCCACAGGCAGGACGACTGATGCAACTTTGGGGACAGGATAGTTTACATTCTCATTTGCTGACCAACCAAAGCCACAGAGTAAAGTCCTGCTTCTACAATCCAAAACAGAACCAAACGGAAACACCTCTAACCCTTCCCATCAAGCATTTTTTATTTAAAAAATAAAAAGAAATGAGAGAATGGATTTCAGTAAGGAAGAATGATGGGACAAATACTATAAGGATTTAA